ACAAGAATGCACCTGAGGATTTTAGAACAGTTTCCTTCATTTAGATAAAAGTACTTTAAGAGGTAGATACAGTTTATAACATCAGCTTCTTCCCCATTTTGGATAAGAAAGAAAGTCTGAATCTCCTATAGTTCATCCAGAGGCAGTAAGGAGGAGAAACGATGCCCAGAGGCACACCTACACCTCTTCCTTCCAAGTCTGCACTCCTACACAGGGTGGGTCAGGGAAAGGGAAAATACCTTCCCCAAACAGGACCCAGAGGTACTGCTTTGTTGTACAGTTTTTTCTAAAGATCACTGCAGGTGGGAATAAAGACGCAAACATCTGATATTTTACCCTTCTCAGTTCATTCACCTCTAGGGCTTTATGCTCTCAACAATTTGGATCTCTCTTACTTAATATTCATTTTCTTGCACTTAACTTAGTAAAACTCCAAACTTACCTTTCCCAGACTAACCCTCAGTACATAAAGAGAAGCGTTTCATATTTAGGAAAAAAATACTTCCTCCCTCAATAAAAGTAAAGTTTTCTACACTAGTATGTCTGTAAGTACCCAAAAACTTTTAATTTAAAACACAGATCAAATAAAATGACCCCTTTGTGCTTAATCATATGAATTTACCCTTCTATTAAACTAGTGAATCAGAGGAGCAAAGTTTATTGAGAATGAAAAGGTATTAACTTCATACCTCAAAAATATGATCCCTATTATATCAATAACAAAGAAAAGACATAAAAAATTGATAAAATCTGGGTGGTTATATAAAGAACTATATACATGCAAAAATTGGAGAAGATTGCTATAAAATGTGGACAGTAGGATAAATTATCAAGGAGGAGAAACATAAAATAAATAAATTGAAGAGATAAAATCTGAAAAAGCAAACAAGAATAAAGAGCAACTTGCAGAAGTCATAAAAGGAAATAGAAAACTATTATTTTAAAGTGCCAGGGTAGAATGTGTTTTGTGGTTTTAAAAGTCAGGAAGTATGTAAATTTTGGTGGCAATTTTTGCAATGTCAGCACCCCATAAAATTATTTTAACAGCTCCACAAGTTGTATAAGCTATCTTATAATAAAAATACAAATTAATGAGAAGTATGGACTATCACTTTCAGATCTATTGTATGCTGCCTACCTGTTAATCATTTTTTTGGTTTACATTACATTAAAGATCTTATTATTTCTGGTACACAATATATATACTTGACTGTATGACTACAGTTACACAGATGAAGAATGAAACCACAATTTGGGCACTTTTTTTTTTTTTCAATTGCAATGTAATACTTCAGGTATCATTCAGTTATTTCCAAAAAGTAACTTACTGCTTGTTCTAAAAACTGAACAGAGTAAGGTGACTCTTCAGTGGTCCTAATTTAGTAAAATATTATGTAGCCACATAGGATTATTTCCACATTCACATGTTAGAGACATCCTAATATAGTAAAAGGGCTTCCCTGGTGGCTCAATGGTAAAGAATCTTCCTGCCTATACAGAAGACCCAGGTTTGATCCCTGGGTTGGGAAGATCCCCTGGAGAAGGAAATGGCACCCAACTCCAGCATTCTTGCCTGGAGAATCCCATGAACAAAGGATCCTGGCATACAGTACATGGGATCTTAAAGAGACATGACTGAGCTATAAACACTTCACTTACTATATTAAAAATGATCACAGTCAGTTTGGCACCTTACACTTTCACAATATATAAGACAGCTTAGAAATATAAGATAGCTTTTTTTTTAATCAATTTAACTTGCAGTGAAGGAAGTCAATATACAGGCATTTTTAAAAGAAAAGTTCTTGCACTGTTTTTTCCCTTTAAAAATTCAACACAAATCTTTAAGATTTTCGCATGGTTTGGCTTTAATTTTACATGGTGATATTTATCGCCTATTCAGTGTATCCTTAATCTTCAATACTGTGATGATATGTTATCAAGATATATTGAATTGGAACAGAAACATCAAAACTTTTCAGTAATTTGGAAAATTGACTGAATTGTTTTGGATCAGTTCTGTGAGCTCCAGCAGGATTGCAAGTTGCTATGTCAGGCAATCCGTTTTTCACCCACAGAAATTTCACATAGATCCACTTTTCCCTGAATTTTAATGTGTCAGTAATTCAAACTCAGTTTTGAACATTTTCTGATGTTAGCTGGTATCAAATGGAGGAAACAAAGAAGCTAAGCTGATTTTCATAAATAACACTTCTTTGGTGACTCCAGAGATGGTAACTTACTCATCGTTTACCTTAACTGTTATCTATTGGTAAGTGGTAAATTTGATATGTGATGGAATGAACAAGAATTTAAATGATTAACAAAGTTATAAGCCCCATCTGCTAAGTACCAAGAAAGAAATAAAATGATAAATGAATAACCATTTTAATAACTTGTAAGAATTTGATGAAAGTCAGTACTAATCCACCCTATAAATAGGCATTTTATTAAAAGAAAGATTTGTTAATCACCCTATAAACAAGCATTTAAAAGGAAGATTTGTCTGATCACCCTATAAATAAGCATTTAAAAAGGAACAGATTGTCAAATTACACTTTTGGAAGAAAATTCCCTTGATGGATGATTATGATTGAAGAACATTGAGAGGAATCGAGTAAAGTCAACATTTAAAGGAATCAAGTAAGGTGAAATCCAGTAAGGAATGGAAAAAGGAATCTCCTTAAGTGCTTTTTTAGTTGTTTCAAATAGAGGAAGGGCATGATATCAAAAGAGAGGAAATATAAATTTGATGAGCTAAGTTGCTATGATGGAACAGACACTCCAGCCTTCACTGAGAAATTACTGTGAAAAGTGAAAATTTTGCACTAATATCCTTAACCTGTGGCATGGGAAGTAATAAGAAGTGTGGGAGGCTGGAGAAGCAAGGAATTTGAGATGAAATACTCAGTGTATAGACAATAGACAGAGGTCTTCTATTTAATACAATAGTGCATTTTATTTATTTTACATCATCCAAACATTGATTTCCAGCTTTGCTTCTTAAATTACTGTTGATGATTTAAATTAAGAGCAGTGAAGTTATAAAAGTCTTTTTCTTAATGATAATATGTACTGAAAGGAAGTGAAGTTGAAAAGCAAAATGTATTTCAGTGTGGTTAGCATTTATATATATAACCTGCTGAAAAATAAACTGAAATTTCATTTGTAATTGTAATCCTTTCTACAAAGGAAGATGTATCTTTTGAAAGATAAAACATATCTATTTGATGTGGTACTCATTTGAGAATTTAAATACCTGAGTTTCAGCCATTGCCATTTTGAGGTTATTGAACTTTTCCAGTCTTTCATTTGCCTACTAGTAAACCAAGGGAGATAAAATTTTCACCTCTTGGAAACACTGCAAGGGTATAGACCTTTTTCCCTGACACAGTGTAACACAGTATGCTTTGAGAAATAATTTGAAAAATGTTCAAGCAGTTACTATTGATTATTGTTTTTTTCTTTATACTTCAAATGCATTTAAATTCTTTAATCGACTGGAAATATGGTAGACTACTTTCATTCCCATTACAGATCTCAAATTCATTCCTTTTCCATTGTGGTTTTTCTTGTTTGACAAGCCAATTGAATGTTCCCACTCTACTATTCAAAACCCAACACTGAAATACCCTCTTATGAAGGGTATGCTTCTTGCAAAGCTTTTGAATGTATATGTAGGAACAGGACTCTGATTTATGGACGGTTCTTTAGCTTTACTTTAATTTTCCTTTTATTTTCATTGACAGTAAAATTTTCTGGATACTACAATCAAGATAGTGTATTCATAGAAATAACATTAATAGAAGCTTGGTCATAAACGAGAACAGTCATAACACCAATGTCCCTTACCAAGGCATTCCACACAGAGACATAACAGCACAATAAATAAAGAATTTGCCGTTTGTCACATAACAACTAAAACAGAGTTGCAGTAAAAAACTGTAATTTTATAAATGTTCCTATACTAAAAATAAAAGCAAAAATATGAGATCATGCTCTAGAGACAAAAGCTAAGAGTGAAGAGTTATAGCAAAAAAAAATTGCAAAAAATAAAAATGTTCAAGTATTGTGAGAGGAGAGGGGAAGATTTGAATGGAAGAGTTTCAGGATAAATCAATTATATTTACTACCCTAGGAAGGACACTGACATAATTGTCTTTGTCCATTAATACTTTATGCTGTTAAAATACACAGTTATCCATTTAAAGGACAAGATTCTATTTCCTTGGGACACCTCTCATATTAAAAGGATGGAATAAAATTCATTGTTTACCTTGATTATAAGTAGATAATACTTTAGAAGTATTCTCAAGAACAGGCCAGTGTGATGCCCTGCAATAGTAGGAGCCTGGGAGCTAAAAGCTGATTCTACTCCTATTTCTTTAAATCATCTTCTGTGACAGATACTTCCCAGTCCTGAAATAAAATTTCACTTCATGTTTCAGTTTTACTGTAAGAATTGAACTATTAGAACTAGCAGAGAGCAGTAAAAACAATAACAACAATAATAAAATAGTTAAACAGTTTACTGATGTTTACTTTTTCAAAAAAAAAAAAAGGTAATGAAAAAAGCTGGACCACTTAATGGAACCAAGAATTGAATAATGCTTTAGTGGGGTTATTCCTACAGGATAACCATTTCTTCCCCAACATAACTAATCTAAGCAGTGCGTTTATTCTTTGTGGTTGAATATTATATCAGATTTGAACAGTGGCTAGTTTCTACATGATTAGGAAAGACATGTTTGTCATGGGAGTAAAAAAATAAAATTTGTCTGTTAAATTACACATAAATATAAGGTACAAATGTATTTTTAAAATACAGATTAAAATAATCACACTTGCATTGTGTACATACGAAAATACAGTATTTAATATTCAATATACACAGACACATTTATGATAAATGCAACTATTTGGCAATGCCAGTTCCTTCAGGGTTTTTGCTGTCTCCTATTTCCATCTACATGGAAACAAAAATGCTCTGCCAACATCTCCTAGCTCTGGCGGACATCCTGAAGCAGTTTGTTAATCTCAGCCACTAGCTCACTGGCATCCATGAGTTCGTGTTTGCCGTCATTGAGGTGGTTAAGCACATTGTCAAAATCATCCTCCTCGTAATTCTCAGGGATCTCCTCCATGGCCGGCAGCCATTTTGAAGAAGGCTGCACACTGGAGTGAGTTCCAAGTGGGGGCCCAGAGTTGTTGGCCGGGTTTTGAAAATGCGTACTGGCTGCCCAGGCCGCCACCCCCTGTGGGTAACCCGCAGTCTTGGCCGGCAAAGGTCCCTTCCGGCGTTCCAGCGAGTTGGACCGGTCCATCTCACTGCACTCAGAATAGGCGTCCAGAGAAGGGGGCAAGAGGCGCTGGAACACGCTGCTCATCTCCGAGAGCAGAGAGGACGTGCTGGTGTCCCCAGAGTCCTCCTCACTCGGGGAGTCCTTCCCGAATGTGGAAAAACTCTTCTTCTTCTCGCCAGGGTCTACAGGCTGCACGTCATCCTCAAGACTCTGATGGGGATGCTGTTGCTGGGGCTGTGCTGGGAACTCCTCCCCGGGGATGAACATGTTGCTTCTGTAATCCGAGGAGGGTGAGGGCAGCGGCGGCATCCAGCACTGGTCGGAGTGTCCCAGGACCCTGCATTCTTCCGTGCACAGCCTCATAGCTGCTCTCAAGGAAAGCAACAAAAGCAACAAGGATTCAGTGTTACATGTCTCGTGACTCAAACAAAATAGAAAAAATCATAATTTTATTTTTTCAAACACACAATTTTAAACCATCATCATGATACTAACCTATTACTTTACACATTAGATGGACTATAATTACGACTTTAATTTGACTACTGATTTTATGGACCTGGTGTGTGTGTGAAAGTCTCTCAGTCGTGTCCGACCCTTTGTGACCCCATGGACTATACAGTCCATGGAATTCTCCAGGCCAGAATACTGGAGTGGGTAGCCTTTCCTTTCTCCAGGGGATCTGCCCAATCCAGGGATCAAACCCAGGTCTCCTGGACCTGGTATATATACTTTTTCTTGTTCATCAAATAAGAAGGGAGGATTATGACTCATGTACTTCTCAGGAATATCATCTGCTCCTCAAGCAATAAGAAAATGGATGGATAACTTACGAATGAAAATGTCTGTTAGAGAGCTAAGGTGTGAGTGATGAAATGTCTGCTGAACATAAACTCTATGAAAACCCAGAGGTGTACGGTGAAATCCATAACTTTAGAATGCTACCAGATAAGCCTTGAGTAACATCTTTGAGTACTTTCTATAATGTAATCTATCTGACCTACTTTAGTGGAGGCACTGAGAATATAATAAACTAGTAAGTAATTATACTTATCAATCTCTCATAAAAATATACTGGATTATTTATTGACTTGTTACTTAAAACAGTAGTGCAAATTATCCTCAACTATCAGCCACTTGCAGTTACTCTGTTAAGAAGAAATCTTGTAGAGGTTTGAAATTCAAACAGTTGGAAAAGTTATCAAAAGATGAAGACTATGAAAAAAGCAAAAAAAACCAAACACTGGTTAGTTCTTCCAGATGTTATGATGCCCCATTGGAATGTGAGTGGCTACACTCAGAAAATAATCAGTGATATGAGAAAACCAGAAAAATGAAGAAGAGGGGAAAAAAATCTCTAAATTTGGCAAGTATATTAACTACATAACTACCAAGAAATGTGAAGATGTAAAATACACTCCACAAACCATCCATCTCTTTCAGTGACTGTTAGGTCCTTTCAATATCATGATTTCATTTTAGCTCAAATGACAGAATGCAGAAAATACAAACTAATTATCTTAGATTTGAATTAAAACTGGATTGATATCAGCCATACTTAGACATTCAGAGGTAATTCTGTAGATTTGGCTGCTTGAGAATGATATCTCTTCCAAATTATTGCTAAAAAGGATGACTCTTGAACAATGCCAAATCCCCTGTCAGGGGAAGCAAGTTGTCAAGTGTGCTTTTTGCTGTATCCCCAGCACTAGGTAAAGTGTCTGAAGTGTCTGCATAGACTAGGCATTCACTGCATATTTTCTAATCATCAGGGAAATGCAAATCAAAACACACGATGAGAAATCACCTCCAACCTATCAGAATGACTGTAATAAAACATGAACACAAAAACCCAAAGGATAACATGTGAGGGGAGTGTGGAAAATTGGACCTTTGTACACTGGTGTTGGGAATGTAAAGTGGTTGCAGGTACTATGGAAAATAATATGGAGGTTACTCAAAAAATTAAGAAAGAACCACCATATGATCCAGCAATCCCATCTTTCGGATTTACCCATAAGAATTGAAATCAAGATCTCAAAGAGATACAGCACTCCCCCTGTTTATGAAAGCACTACTCACAATAACCAAGATGTGAAAACAACCTAAATGTCTATCAACTGTTGAATGGATAAAGAAAATGTAGTATATGCATACAATGGAATATTTTTCAGCCTTAAACATGAAAGAAACTCTCTAAAATGTGCTGATGTGGATGAACCTTGAGGACATTAAGCTTTGTGAAATAAGCTAGTCACAGGGAAACACATATTGCATGATTCCCTATATTTGAGGCATCTAAAATAGTCCAATTCAGAGAATCCAGGAATGAAATGGTGGTTAACAAGCATCAGGCAGACAGGGAAATTGCTAATTAACAGACATAAATTTTCAGTTAAGCAAGATTAAGTTCAAGAGATGTGCTGTAGAACACTGTACCTACCGTAAACAATCTCACACGGCTAAAATTTTGTTAATAGAGTAGATCCCACATTAAGTGTTCTTATACAATAAATAAAATTTTGGAAAAGATTTATGCACAAGAAAGTGAAGAGTAAATGTCGCCTTTCAGAAAAGGAGACGTAAAGGACTTTGTTCAAAGGTGTGGAAGTCACTGCTCTTCATCATGTGCATCTTGAAGATAATTCTGTTCTTATACCTCATCCATTCTGGGCCTCAATTCTTAATAATAGAGAAGGAGTCAGCTGAAGAACAAAAATGAGAGCAAGAACTGTGAGAAAAAATGTCTGATAGGAAGGCTAGAAATTCAAAGTATGGATAGTGTGAATGCCAATCCCATGGGAATCACAATGGGGTGAGAGCAATAGTGAGAATCCTTGTGTCATTTTGCTACGAAGAAAAGTGACATTTAAATCAGCAAGAATAAAAAATATTTAGATGTGCTGACTTAACGCATTATTATTATTTGGGGATATTTATCAACTATTGTTGTTTATCATACATGGACAAAATCAAAAGGTGTTGAAAGTAACTGGAATACCTCCATAGCAATGAGGTTTTCTAAGCACTGAAATAACTGTCAAATGGTAATTAATTTTTTCCTTAATTCCCTGAGTCTCTGAAAGTGGAAAGGAGACCTGTCTGTGTTGTCTTACATCCTTTTAGAAGGAAGAATAACAGAACTAATGACAGCTCTTCAGTTGTTTTCATGCCTTTAATTCTGTGGGAAGGTCTTAATTGTTTGATTGAATTTGTTTTGTTTTAATGTTTAATGATGGGGGAGAAAAGGAAAAATTACACAAGCTTCTAAGAATCCTGAGCATGATCAGCTTTCTAGAAAACTGAATGTAATGAAAATCACAAACAATAGCATCTGAGTAATTAAAACAACAGTTCATATGAAAAATAAATTTGGTCACAGGGATTTTTAGGCAGGAAATGCTAGTTTATAACTTCACAATAAATAAATTGGGCTTTAGTTATAAAATAATAAATTAGCATAAACTTTTAAAACCCAAAAATATGAAAAATTAATGAATAAAGATTAATGGAGATAAGGAGGGCTAAAATAACAGAGACGGAGGAACAGTGGCACAGAAGAGGGCATTTCTTTTTTCATTGATATTTCAACCTTTACCCCAAGACTCAACTGTGCGAAATCATTCTCAGTGTACATACAGCTTCGTGTCACAGATGTTCTACACCATATCCAATGAATCAGGACTTGTTGGCTAGTGGTGCAAGTGGCTAATCTCCCTTTGTTCCTTGAAAGCTCTTGTCAGGTGATTAAACTTTCTCTGAGGAGGGGGTCATGGGGAAACAGAAAACTCTGTTTTCTCACAGCATGATGGTGAGTTTTGTCTCTGTACTAGACCTTATAGGCAGGACAGGAAGAAGGCATTGAGTATAAGAAAATAAATATATGCCTAACTCCGATCAAACCATTAGTCATTGAGTGATCATTCTATTAAGAACCTGCCATATGTAAAATGGTGTTATAGCTCCCGGCCCTCAAATAGTTTCCAGTACTAGAATAATTATCAAGTGTGACAAATGAGGTCATAGATGTCTAAAGTGTCAAACTATATGATGCTGAGACAATATGTAAAAAAAAAAATGTAGGATGTCACTTACATGTGGAATCTAAAAGCTATAACTGGTGAATATAACAAAAAAGAAATAGGCTCACAGATAGAGAGAAAGAACCAATGGTTACCAGTGAAGAGAGGGAAGAGGGGAGTGGCAAGATAGGGATAAGGGATTAAGAGGTACAAACTATTAGGTATAAAATAAATAACCTACAAGGATATATACAGCGCAGGGAACATAGCCAATATTCTATAATAACTATAAGTGAAGTATAACCTTTAAAAATTGTGAATCACTGTATTATATACCTATAATATATAATACTGTAGAGCAACTATACTTCAATAAAAATAAAATAAAAAAATAGAGTATAGGTGGATGCTGAAGCAGTTAAAGAGCAACTTGAAACAAACTTTGAGAGATGAATAGGATTTAGATAGACAAAGTAAAAGAAGCTAGTTTTTCAGGTAGAAAGGTGAACATGAGCGAAGGATTGCTGTGTTATGTAGAAATGACTCTGCCTATTGCAAAAGATAAAAAAAAAATAATAAATTTAATAAGCTGGGACTGGATTTCACTGGCCTTGAAATGTCAAGACAAACAGCTGAATTAGGTGTTGCCGAGCAACAAAAGTCAATTACTGTTTTTGAACTAAAAAAATAAAAAATGTTCTGAAAAAGTTGTTCAAGCTGTATGAAAGAAAGGGTTGACAAAGGAAGAAGCTATTGGAAAGTGAATATCACTTCATGTGCTGATACAGAAAAGCAACCAGAAGTAGGACACCAGCCATGAGAATGGAGAGGACGTGGAATTAAAGAGGAATGTTTGAATTTAGTAATCATAGATGTTACAATGATAAAAAACAATGAAATGAGCTCAGTCAAGGAGTATCGCAAGGACATCCTAGTGTAGCTAACACTTTGGGAAAAGGGAGATTTTGCAAGCATTTGTGTAGAGTTGTAATTCAAAGTTGAATGAGTAAGGAAGAAAGTATGTTGACAAACATGAGCCAACAGACAAAAATGTGTGCTGACTTTACTGTTCAGAATGCAGTGTCCCCCTGTGGGAATTAATAGAATGAATGACCAGAAATGACCCTGTTGGCAGGCAAGGCAACATAACATAATCTATATTTGATCACAGTCTAATGCAGAAAAAACAGTTGGAATAAGACACTGAAATCCTAAAAATATCCATGCTTTAAAAAAATTGTGCTGATTTCTGTTAATGGCATTCAGATGTGGACTTAACATTTTTTTTCTACTTGGAATATTTCCTGGGAATATAAAGTTTACAAAGCAAAACTTTTACACACTAATGTGTTGAAAGAAACTACCAGTGTGAAGAATAATCCAGAATATGGGTAATGTATCATCAGAATGATGGTGGTAATTAAGTATAGATATTTGATTATGCACATTTCTATACTAGCCAAGCATACAAAAAGCTTAAGATATTTTATGGATCATTAGTGATTTCCTGGTTCTCTGTGCCTCTAGAATAGTTTCTTCAATACCCCACATAGAGACAAGAAGTTAATAAGGCAGAAGTGTATGTATTGTAATACAATCTATTATAATACAGTTACATGCCCTAGCAAAAGAGCTCTCCCACCACACACCTGGATTAAGTATAATTTTGTGGAATTGCTTTTTAAAGAGTTGTCTACATATTAGCTGGTGTTATTAATGGTAATATAAAAATGAGCCTCTAACTTTCAGAAGAAATGTGACTTAGGAGTCTAAAGTCGCTCACTAAATAAGACTCCAGTATCTAGAGTTTATCAATATCCACCTACTAGTTCCCCAATTATTCTTTATTCTATAACACTTATTTTAATTACTTTAATTCAAGCATTAGACAACTCTCCTGCCATGAACATACCTGGCGGTGGTAACTTTGAAAATACAGGCTAGAATGAAGAGGAGTTGTGACCTTTTTAAAAAAAAATTAGACCATGATTAGCTATTGAATTAGAGAATTTCAGAGTTAAAAAGGACTTTAGGCATCATTTGGGCCTGGCAAGGTTATCTAAGCAGTGGCAGTTATTCTTTTAACTATAGTGATAAATGAAAATTGTGTTAATAATGGGACCTAATGAAACTTAAAAGCTTTTGCACAACAAAGGAAACTATAAGCAAGGTGAAAAGACAGCCCTCAGATTGGGAGAAAATAATAGCAAACGAAGCAACAGACAAAGGATTAATCTCAAAAATATACAAGCAACTCCTCCAGCTCAACTCCAGAAAAATAAATGACCCAATCAAAAAATGGGCCAAAGAACTAAACAGACATTTCTCCAAGGAAGACATACAGATGGCAAAAAAACACATGAAAAGATGCTCAATATCACTCATTATCAGAGAAATGCAAATCAAAACCACAATGAGGTACCATTAGACGCCAGTCAGGATGGCTGCTATCCAAAAGTCTACAAGCAATAAATGCTGGAGAGGTTGTGGAGAAAAGGGAACCCTCTTCCACTGTTGGTGGAAATGCAAACTAGTACAGCCACTATGGAGAACAGTGTGGAGATTTCTTAAAAAACTGGAAATAGAACTGCCAATATGACCCAGCAATCCGTCTGGGCATACACACCGAGGAAAGCAGATCTGAAAGAGACACGTGCACCCCAATGTTCATCTCAGCACTGTTTATAATAGCCAGGACATGGAAGCAACCTAGATGACCATCAGCAGACGAATGGATGAGGAAGCTGTGGGACATATACACCATGGAATATTACTCAGCCATTAAAAAGAATTCATTTGAATCAGTTCTAATGAGATGGATGAAACTGGAGCCCATTATACAGAGGGAAGTAAGCCAGAAAGATAAAGACCATTACAGTATACTAACACATATATATGGAATTTAGAAAGATGGTAACGATAACCCTATATGCAAAACAGAAAAAGAGACTCAGATGTATAGAACAGACTTGTGGACTTGTGGGAGAAGGCGAGGGTGGGATGTTTCAAGAGAACAGCATCGAAACATGTATATTATCTAGGGTGAAACAGATCACCAGCCCAGGTTGCATACATGAGACAAGTGCTCGGGCCTGGTGCACTGGGAAGACCCAGAGGGATCGGGTAGAGAGGGAGGTGGGAGGGGGGACCGGATGGGGAATACATGTAAATCCATGGCTAATTCATTTCAATGTATGACAAAAACCACTGCAATGTTGTAAAGTAATTAGCCTCCAACTAATAAAAATAAATGGAAAAAAAAATTAAAAAAAAAAAAAGAAAAAAAAATTGTGTCAATGAGTCAACTTTCTACAACTGAAAAAGTAACTTAGGAAATATTGGTATTATACCCATGATATGTTTCCATTTTATGAAATAATTTAAGTCAGAAAATTATATTATTGAAAATTAGAGATCAATATTCAAAATTTGAGTTCCACCAGGATTATAGAATCATATAAATTCAGCCAGCTTTTTCATTTCATGGGTAAGAATAACAAAACTGTTTCTCTATGAGCAAATTGTCTGAGGCCATGTATATTCCACTAGATTTTTCAAGAATTTCTCTTTAAATTGGTCTAGAGAATTTATGAATTTAACAAAAGCAAACAAAAAACCCCACCATGAGTGACTGTGTAAGTATCAGCTCAATGTACATTGATTGTAATGCCACTAGAAGTCCTTCCCATACATCATCCTGTCAGAAATGCAGTATCTATCACAGTAATAGCATAATTAAATAGGGAGCATTTCATTGCTTCTCAGACAGGTAGTAAGACTTTAGAAAGGCAAAACAAATATGTCACTCAAAGTACTAAAAAACAAAAACAAAAACTGTTACTTTATATTATTCTTGATAGATTTGTGTTTGTGAGTAGAGGCATGGGTTCAAATCTCACCTCTAAAATACACAAATTGCTTGATTTTGATACTTTTTTTTTAACCTCTTTAAGTTTCTGTTTTTAAATCTTAAAAAAAAAAAAAAGAACACTACTGTTATTACGACCACCACTAATTGCTATGCCAGAGTGTTGGGAGAGGCACTGCAGGCATAGAACTCATGAGCCCAGAGGAAGCGCTGGGTAACAGTGCCTGTGACTGCCTGGATTAATATTAACACTGCTGCAGCTACTGCCACCATTACGACTGCAGTTTAGGAGAGCTAGCGTTTCTGGTTACTGATTTCCACCGAGTTTCTGTGGCTCTCTGAAGCTCCCTCAGGTCTATTTCCTAAACTGTCTTATTTATCTGTATTTAGGAAACAGTTGTTCATGGACTCACATAGGTAATACCATTTTGTTCTCCTTTTCTTTCATTTATCACTTCGTTTATTCATTTATCAAGTGGCAGATATTTGATCAACATTCAGTGGAATTTAGAAATATAAGTAGCCAAAGGAATAGGTTCTGAAGGGTTGATTTAATATTATAGTCTTTAGTAACAGGGTTGCTACAGTGAGGCAGTCAGTATTTACTCAGCTGGATCTGAGAGTTTCTACTGCAGGATTAGAGAGAAGGGACTCTAAGGAAAACGTGGCTCACAACTTAATAGGGTCTCCTCCATCCAGCTGTGTACTTATAAATTCCCCTCCTGGGCTCCTGCCCCTCCTTCATTGCAGTGGAGACGTAAAATGGAAGGTGGCAAAAAATATTCCATGCTTGCCACCTACAAAGATGCATTCTTTTGCCTATTTTTAGTGAGTGAAGTGTACCATTCCCTAGTGTATTTTCATCTCTGATTATGTGAGTTGGTTCCCATCACAGGAAATGTGTCCTCCAAATTATAGTCCTGCTTACCACTAGGCACCAAAACAGGCTGTCTGAATAAAAAACAACCACCCAGTAATTTGACAGAATTGCTCAAGAGTGCCCTATGGCAGTAGTGGATGGGGGAGAAAGAGGAGGGAAGTGGTGTGGTTTTCTATCCTCCTCTCCCCACTCCTTCCTTCTTGTCCTCTTAAGCTTTTTCCTGTTTATTCCCTTTCTCTACCAACTGATTACTATGGATTTTAATTAAACAATATAAAATTGTCTCAATTTATGTTCATTGTTGATAGTGTGCCTATAGCTACTTTAGTACACAGAAAAAATAAAAGCCTGGGAGAAACCACTCACTCCACTGGTGCAGTAGACCTGAAAATAAGGATTTATCTGTCACCACACTCTTACCTGCTGGAATTCTTCCATCTGTAAGAAACAGATCACTGAATCCTTCACCCAGCAGCCTGTCTATTGGAGAATCTCGCCCCAGATCATAATCACTGTCTCCTGCTTCACTGTCACCACGGCCACTGTCTTTCAAGCTAAATTTGTCCATGTCCTGAAGGGCATATCTAGAAAGAGAAGTCAGGGAAAGTATAGATTTTACTCTTCAGCATTAGGTTATTGCAGATATAATAGGTAACAGGAGGGTCATTCATACCTATAGCTCCTGGAATATTTGTTTCCTCTAAAACTTGGCCTTGGCTGATATTGTCCCTGGTGAAGCATTGAAAGAAGCTGGGAGACCTGCTGGAAACCAAACAGATTGTATTGATTCCTGGAAACAAATCCCCCAATACTCAAAAGCTTTAAGCAAGCAACTACAGTTACTACTCATTATTTCATCCTAATTAACTGAACATGTTATCTTCATTTTAAAGACCTACACATGCTGGATTCTGATAGACCATGCAGCCAAGCCACCAAACAGAACTGAAATAAGTCCCAGAGAGATTTAGCTGTTATCATACAGCAGACATTTTCTTTTTGAAAGAGGATTCCTTTATTTAAAAATGACTGATTACCTCTATTTTATTGTTCAGGTTAAAGTGATCAGTTATAAAAATACATGGAAAACGCTGTAAAAATACATGGAAAATGCTGTAAAACACATGCAGTCAAAATAATGTCAGAAAAATTTCAAAAGTTGAGCAAATACACATGCATGTATGGGATTCTGGATGCCTCCATTTTTCAAAATTTTTCTTAGAGACCATAACTATGAGAATTAGAGCAAGCCCCTTTGTTTCTGGCTTGAAGTATCGTAATCTGAGGATAGGGGGACTCTAATTAGATAGTCCTTTGCTAGCTTCACATTTACTTTTCAACATTACACATAGTACTTGCAAGCAGATTCTTTATGAACAACTTAAGACCAGCATGCTGAGGTGTGTATATTTGCTTTATATACATAATGTAACATGCATCCTATTTAATTTCCATTTTGTTAGTACTGTTACTTAGTAATGGAGACATTTAAGAACTAAGGCATAGGCAACTTCTGACTACTAAGAACTGAGTGTGTCAGTGAATAGGTGCAGGGTGTGATCTTACCTCAACAGCAGGGGTGGCATGGGTGAGTTCTAATGAGAAATTCTCTGGCACGTGGTTTGATGAGATGGTCACCAAACTGTTGAGGGACTGGTGACTGTTGTGACTCTGCCGGCTGCCCATCTGCCCTCTTTCTAGGGTAGGCGATGAAGACGGAGATGACCTGTGATGGGATCTGATGGGCAGGGTGCCATTAACAGTAGGCACCAACGTGATGTCCCCTTTGTGGATCTGCCTGGAGGGTCTCTTGGGGTGATGCTGGTACGTCGATTCTGCTACCCTGCAGTTGTAGGATCTAGTGTCTTTTTTTTCTCGGTTACACCTAGTTGCAAACAGCACCATAATAACCAACAACACTGCACAAATTGCTCCTAAGGAAATGATTATAATCATGGAGACATCCAAGGGTGCCTGGCTTACTGAGGTCATTGCTGTACTTGTCACCGACTCTGCATATTCAAAGATCACACACTTCAGAAGGACTTTGGTATGCAGCTGAGGATTGCCTTTGTCCTGGATGACAACTGAGAGCTCCCATTCTGTGTAGGGAACAGAGTCCATGCTTATGTTGGTATGGATGTCACATGATCGTGGATCAATTACAAAGATATTCTCCTCATTACCTGCTACTATGGAGCAGCTGAGTTCTGCATTCACACCAGAGTCTCTGTCAATTGCCCTAATTCTTGTGACATGAAAGCCACTTTCAGCCCCTTTGGGGATGGAGATTTCTGCGGTGTTGTTGCGCAGTGCAGGCCCTATAACCACAGGGACATTGTCATTTTCATCAATGATGGTGAGCACAACTGTGGTATTGCTTACAAGTTGCTTTGGACTTCCACCATCTCTTGCTTCGACCACAAAAGTGATCTGACTCACCTCCTCATGGTCAAAGATTCTGAGGGCGTAGATGGCTCCATTAGATGGGTCAATGGTTACATATGTAGTTATGGAACTTCCCAGGATAAAACTCTCCAAAATGGTATATGTCACTTGCCCATTTTCTCCAAGATCAGGATCTGTGGCTATAACGGTGGTGATATATGCCCCGGGTGAGTTATTCTCTGAGATTGCAAATTCATATCGACTTCTCTGGAAGTGGGGTGGATTGTCATTTATATCATTGATTTGAACAGTAAAATGTTTTACTGTAGAGAGACTGGGTGTCCCCTTGTCCTCAGCGATTACAGTCAAACTGTATTCAGATCTCTTTTCTCTATCCAGCGTGGCATTCGTCAATATTAAATAATTGTTTTCATAAGTCTTCTGAAGTTTAAAGTGACCATGTCCATGAAGCTTACAAACTATTTCTCCATTCAGCCCAGAATCCTTGTCCTGAACCCTGACCAAGGCAACAAATGTGTCAATAGGATCACCTTCAAAAATATAAGAAATTTCTTCTTTTCCAGGGGACATGAGGTTTATGCTAATTTCAGGTTTATTGTCATTAACATCCACAACCTTAATTATAATTTTGCAATGAGCTGGGATTGAATTTGGACCCAAATCTTGAGCCTGAACATCAATCTCATAGGATTTGGTGATTTCATAATCCACCTGCTTGAAGAGAGTCAAATGTCCTCTTTCTGAATCAATCTTAAAAGTCTCTATAATTTTGGGAGACACATGACTGCTGAAGGAATAGACAATTTTCCCATTAGCGCCCTCATCTGGATCAGTGGCATTCAGATCGAGGAGCAAAGTGCCAACGGGGGAGTTTTCTAAGAGTTGTATTATGTAAGACTGCTGCTCAAAAGCAGGGCTGTTGTCATTAGAGTCTGAAATGCTGATTTTTAATATGGATGAGCCAGACCTCTGAGGCACCCCCATGTCTGAGGCAGTGAGCTGAAGCTCATAGCTTGATTTCAGCTCCCGATCCAGCTCTCTGACCACTATGAGTTCTGCATACTTTGCTCCATCAGTCCTGGTTCGAACCTCGATATTAAAAAAATCATTGGCAGAGAGAGAGTACGTGTGGAGGGAATTTTCCCCAACATCTGGATCAAATGCACTGTCCAGAGGGATACGGGTTCCCACTGCCGCGCTTTCTGAAATCTCAATAGGTATGAGAGATCTTGAAAACTGAGGCGAATTGTCATTAATATCCAGCACTTCAACTTCAATATGGAAAAGCTGCAGATGCTCCGTGGGCAGAGTGATCACATCAAACTCTATGGAACAGTTCAAGTTTTTCTGGCATAGTTGTTCGCGGTCAATTTTTGCTCCTATGCTGATTTCCCCGTTATCCTCGTTGACCACGAGCAGAGGAGAATTTCCTCGTTGCATGGCTCGGAAGCGAACAGTAGAAGGATTAGGTAGCTTAACTAACACATCAGCCACATCCTCTGATAGTCTTGCAATTACCGATCCAACCCTCTGCTCCTCATAAATCCTGTATTTCAAATTCTTGCCCAGCACATCCGAGTTGAAAGACATCACCAGGAGTGCAAAAACAAACGTAAAGTGCATTTTAGCATTCATTTGGTACATCGGTCAGTTTATGAGATTCCGCTCACAGAGCAAGTTAAAACAGCAAGCCAATTCCCTCAACTTCCTTTGGCAACTTAAAGCTAAGCTACATTTGGTACCGGAAACTTGAAAGCGTCTCTTAAAAACACAGCACAGCAATTAACAGCTCGCAAACTTTTCCTTTATACACACCGTGTCACGCCGTCCAGATATTCCCGGCATGGAGTCCAGTCCTTGCATTTGTTTGGCCGTTCGTCCTCTCGGCAGGCAAAGAGAGTGTCACCTCCGCGTTTTCCCCCTTGTGTAGTCGGAATCCATCTATTGCAGGGTGCCGGCGGAGTCCGCAATGGATCTTTCCCGAGCGATTCTCTCTTCCTTTCTCGGCTCGGCTGCAGACTAAACGCCCGTGATTGCTGACTCCAGTCTCAAATCTGTACAACTTCACTTCAACTCAGACAAAGCTCTCTAGCCCGGCGTGTGTTGAATCGCTTCCAGCCAATCAGCGTCCTTCCAAATCAAACGCCGATGGAGTCCCCAAACGAGGGCTGGGCAGACTGGAGAAGAGGGTGGGAGGAGGAGAGAGACGGGGAGGGGTGGGGCCGGGGCTGGGGGCGCGGGAGAGAGCGAGCCTGGGAGAGCAGGGCGGTGGGGGCAGGGGCAGCGGGGTGCGGGAGGCTCCGTGACTGCTCCCGCCTTCCTCCACCCCTCTCCCTTCCTCCTCTGCATCAACTGCATTCACTTTCTCTGAGCGTGCCACGACAAAGGAGAGACAAATTACAGAAGAAAAACTTTAAATCAACTTCTGGTCGCCTTTATTTATTTGGTATTTTAGATTGGCCTGGTTTTCTTAATTGCCCTTTCTTCTTCCGCAAACATGTAATCATCTTGCTTTTCATAGTCCTTAAGTACTGGTTTAACTTAAAATACCTCTAAGTGCATTTTGTTGGTGGAGGAATTTAATAAAATTTGAAAACTTGCTTCTAATTATGCTTGTTTGCCCGCCTCCTTCCCCTCCCCCTCTGTAAATACTTGGGTCTTTCTCCTGTGAGCACACGCAGATTTTCTTGTTCTGTTTTAAAGAACAGAACTAGTAAAGAGGTTTCATTTTCTGTTTTTCTTTCATCTTTATTCTTTGAAGATAAGAAAAGGGCTGTTTTCCACTCTTGATTTCTCTTAATTAGCAAGATTTAAAGGAGCACCTTAAGATTTGAAACTAATTAACAATATAGTTCTACCTTATAACACTTCTTGCCTGGAGTTTGGCCAAAATTGGCTATGATATTTCTTTGCCCTGTACTTCAAAAAATCCTATTTACCTTTGGTAAAAGACATTTCATGCTTTAGCATGTCAATTTCTACCGAAAAGGTACTAGACTATCTATACATGGTGAATCTTCACAATGAATACTGGGGGGACATGGACTTAGAAATTTACAAGTCAAATTTTTATAATATATGTATTATTTATGAAAACACTTTTAGGATTTGTATTTTAAAAACCCAAAGCTTGTTTACATTGAAAAATAAAGTGCCTGAGCTGAAAATTGTATTTTGTGTGCATCAAAATGCTAAGGAAATATCATGGGAGGTTTGTGTTCTATCCAGGTCACAGAAGCTGATATGGTATTCTTATTTGAAAATATGATTATTTATGATGTTCTTTCTGCTCTGCAATTCCTTTTAAGTTTATCATCATGGCTCTATTCTTAATGCTTTTTTTTTCATACCTCTTGCATTATTCCTCAGCTGTCTTCATCCACTTGCATATTTGCTGTTTCACATAATCTCACTGTCACTTTTTCCCATTTATTTTCTCCCACTCTCTATTTTGCCCCCCAGAAACATATAAAAAAAGTAATTTTCTGATTTTTCCACTTTGCTTACTCTCAGCAGAGCTCAGCTAAAGTAACTAAGAAGATTCTTTCCAAAAAAGAAAGCAGAGGAGTCTCAGCATGAATTCTCCTTCTTTTTAGGCATTCAAAAGCATTTTATAAGCCATTGTCTTTTTCTCCCCCCTCGAGAAACCAGTGCTGTGTGGCAAATTGTGCAGAATAGAAATGCCTATAATGAATGTATTTAGTACTGGGTCACGCTGATGAACATTCTGCCCCCATGAATAATACTGTTTTACAAGTTTGTAGCCTTTTCAAATTGCTGATCCTCAAACCCTATAGCAAAACTAGGAAAACTACCACAAGCAACTGGGACTTTAGAAACCCATAGCCATCTGTTCTAGATCTCTAACAATCTGAGCCAATAATTATATCAATTCAGGCTTTAGTGAACCCCTTTGCAGACACCAAAAGAGCAAAGAAAGGAATTAGTGACTATTCAAAGTTGGGGTGAAAATTCAAAGGTAATCTAATTCTATTAGTTCTAGGAGAGTTTTCTTTTTGGATTTGGTAAGTCCACCTCCCAATACCCCAAGAGCAATGGTTTTGATTATCTTAATGTAAAAGACATTTTTCCTATGCTTAAAAAGTAAAAATATCTTTAAAATCTTTCACTTATTTTTGACAGTGAGCTTGAACAGAATTAACTGTTGTGAAAAAGAGCTTCAGAGGTAACTTACTGAAATATTTGAAATCAGTTATAAATTAATATAAACTCATAAGAAATGTATTTCCATGAGTAAATTGTTAAAGAACGTTGAATCTTTCATGCAGGAGGGCTTTTTTCTCTTGTTGTATCATCCTTACCAAATACTGCTTCATTTTCAGCTGATCAGTCTCTCCCTGAGGAATTATATATACCTACATGATAGTATTTTGCTTTTGATTTCTCCTTAGTGTATATTACTCTGCTTTTTCAAACTTGTTTTCAAAAAGTACAAAATAGAAACTAAATCTTTCCTTCGAACTTTCGGTTAGTTCCAGCAATTCAAAATGTCCTTATTTGGTAGCCCTGAATAGAAAATCCTTAAAAAAAAAATCTGTCCCTCATATCCCTTGCTGTTTATGAAAGGATTTGTGTCGGGGAAGAAAACTGATAAACTTCTGCTAGTTGTTGTCTAATGATGATTGGATTTAACTTTCTTCTTCTTGAATTTTACAAAGTCATGAAAAAGTGATAGACCGTGAAACAACTTCTTAGATATCCTAGTGATGAAGTAGTGATAGAATGTTCCTTAGTGTCCAAACTCGTTTGACATGGAGGCCTTTGTTGACAAGAAAGAAGAGGGCTTCTTCTCTTGAGGACTGTGGCACTCTGAGTGATGATAGCCACTCCAGCTCCTGGAGGAGAATCTCAGCTACTTCCATCCTGTTGTGCATATTTTATTCACAAATCTCCTTTTACCTCATCAGCCTAAGTTGGCTGAAAATTGCTAAACCTAGAGAAAAGATACCAGCTGGCATAGGCTATATATCCAGTCACTTTTACCATGTCATTTCTTGTGATAACTTTTGGCTCTTCTGTTCGTGGGATTCTCCAGGCAAGAATACTGGAGTGGGTAGTCATTTCTTCCTCTAGATCTTCCTGACCCAGGGATCAAACCAGGGTCTCCTGCGTTGCAGGAAGATTCTTTACTGTCTGAGCCAGCAGGGAAGCCCAGGGAAAACAAAGCTTTATAATTCTAAATCTTTAATGGTTTCTTTCCTACTGAAGGTGCTTCAGTAGGATAAATGGCTCAATGGATAAAGAGTCTGCCTGCAGTGTGGGAGAGCTGTGTTGACCCCTGGCTTGGGAAGACCCCAAGGGAAGGAAATGGCAGACCACTCTGGTATTCCTGCCTGGAGAATTCCATAGACAGAGGAGTCTGATGGGCTATAGTCCATGGGGTCACAAAGAGTCAGACATGACTGAATGACTAACACTTTCACTTTTCTTTTTTCCTACTGAAGAAGAGAGGAAGGGTAAGACTCAGTTGTAAAGCTCGTATACTTCTCCATTACATCAACGATACTGACATTTTTGGTCCCGGAATACAAAATTATAGTCACTAAAATTTCTCACAAACAGACGTCAATTTTGTTTAAATTTTTTAGTTATTAATTTGTCTTTCTATGGGATCTCACAATCTTTTTGCAAATTGGCATACTATGATAACCTTTCTCATACCATTTGTTGTGAAATGCCTTGTAGGAGGAACTTATATTCTTGCTTGTAACAAACCTAATAGTTACTCTACTATATATCTTGGGAAATGAGGTAAGAGCAAAAGCTTTACCAGCCAGAAGTTGTTAAAGTTAAGTAATCTCTTTTTAAAATAAAAAGCTTGACTTTTTATATGAGCTCAACTCATGTACCAATGCAGGTACCCCCAGGTGGTAGTTGTATAATCTTGAACAGTTTATTTATCGTCTCCCAATCTGGCTAATCCTGTGGGACTCAGCATTGTGTGCTATAAAGAATTCTTATAAGAATTTTAAAAATTGTGCAGAAGAAACATACAGCAGACAGAGTGAACAGGCTAAACAAAGGTTGGTTTCCTCTTCTTAGCCTCTGTGTGTCTGTTTTCTTCCTAATTCCATTGGAGAGGTGGAGGAGGAAGTGTGACTTATAACCACAGTCCTGCTTGCTTTTCAAGCTTTTGGTTTAGATACTTATTTAATTTTATGCTGGAAAGATGAATCTCTCCCCATTTTTGATTTATGAAGGTCACTTGTGAGCCATAATTGACAAGGCTAATAGTAGTGATCCGTGAAGATCTTGAAAGCTTGGTGGTTCACTGAAGAAAATTCCACAAAATCCATAAACATATTTAAGTTTATACTTAATATACATATTAAGTATATATTATACATATATATTAATATACATATGCCACCAAGTTTTCAAGATCTTCATGGATCCTAAAACATAGGAATGTATTTAATACCACAATACAGGTAAAAGAAGTTAATGTTGTTCTCCCTGTATTCCATTTTCTAACCTATGCAAGAAGATAACAATATAAAATCACTAAAGAGTATGAACTCTTTATTGGAACATAGTTATCAGCATAAGATCTAGGACTGAGACATGAGAATGGATCCTAAATTATCCTGAGACTTGCAGAATAAGATTTTATGAGAATTCTG